TTCTACAAGGGGTCTTTTATGTATAGGTGTTCGGTAGGGTTTTAATTTCACAGGGGTGGTCTCCGGTGTCGATTTTCATTTTCGACTGTGTGGGTCTGACCTAGCTCCTTGTCTGACTGGGCCACCACATCTCGATTGTTCCTTAACAGACCCCCCACTCTGGTTCTAAATTGATCCGGTGCTAATATATCCTCATCTAAGATTCCTTTTTTGTTTGCTCTACTAGCTTCCTTCATTCCTCCTCGAATCTCACCCGATTCAGAGTTCGTAGGGGAAATGCTCTCCCTATCTTCTCCCTCTCCTAACCTTTTATAGTCTTTTGGGCCTGGTTCACCATCATAATGGGCACCAACTCGGCTACCTCCACTACTGTTTCGCACACAGGGTTACCTCGTTATCTTCTAGGCCCTTTCCTTCTACAGGGACCAACTGCAGAGGTCCTCTCCCACCTTTTTTTCTTCTGACATTAGCCTACCCTTTCCCGACACTGCGGTCCTAGGAGGTAACTTTACATCTTCCTCCACCACTATGGTTATCTCTTCCTCTGGTGGGCATCCCAATGGCGTTCTCTCGCTGTTCACCACCAACACAGTAGGATTAAACTCGATCTGGGCCTTCTGGCTCGGAGCCAATCTTCTCCCAAGATTGCCTCTGTACACAGGTCGGGGTTACGTAAAATTTTGGGTGCTTTTCACCCTCCCAATCCTCACAGGGGAGCCTCACCATCCCTTTTATCTCCAGGGGGGCCCCATCTGCTTTGCGTGATCTCTATGTCCGCTTCCCGTAACCTTCTCTTCCGTTTCACCCGCCTGTATGTTTCCTCTCTCATCAATGACACAGATGCTCCTGTGTCCACCAAAGCCCTCATCTCTCTACCACCTATCTCTGCTCTACAGGATAGTTCTTTCTCTGCGTTAGCGAAGAGAACACTTGAGCTTTCTTCTTCCTGGGTCCCCACCTTTGGGTTAACCCAGCCATAGGCCTTGGTAGTAATAAATCACCTTCATTTTTTCCATGAGGTGGAGTTCTGCCCCCCTGCACCTGGGCGACCCCCGGCCGGACCTCTCCCGGTCTCCCATGGCCGTTTCTAAAAAATACAGTTTCTTTTCAGGTGTCCTGGCCTCCTGCAAAACCAGCACCTTCTTGCTGGACAGCTTGCCAAAAAGTGGCCCGCCCGACCACATGTCCAACATTTTGCTCTTTCCCTTTTTAACTGGGTTGGCCTTGCATCTATTCTCGGGGGAACCCGTCCTCTATTCAAGCGGTTCACCCACCCACTAGTCCAAGTTTTTATTTCTCTCCTTTTTAACTGGGCCACCCTCCCTCTTAATTCTGGGGTGGCCCGCTGGCTTTTCTTGGGCTCGGCCTTCCTTGTTAATATTGGTGGGGCACCCTTCCTCAGCCCGCACCACTTAGCCAGGTGTCCTTTCTTACCACACCTGGTGCACCTGTCACGATCGAAGTCTGGGGGCAACCCCCACTTCGTCGGACATTCCGCCGCCCTGTGGTCCTCGTACCCACAGGTCCAGCAGACCAGCCCGTATCGACCGGGCGTGGGCTTATAAAAGCCATGCCTGGTCGACCATGCCCTTCTATTGGGGTCCTCCTCCCATAATTCTGCCCGATCTACCTCTTCCTTAACCCTCTGATTCCACACGGGGGTTCTTCCGCCCACCCCCCCTTCTTCCAGCCTCCTGACTTGGTATCTGCTTCTTCCCACACCTCTTCACTTTATCCCACACGCCCTGGCTCTCCCTGGCCAGCTTTATCGCTGCCGACAGTCTGAGCGGTCCTTCTTTCAGTACGTCGTGGATTTAACACGCTCGTCGCTCAGCGCCTCTACATACAGGTCTGCCAGTTGAGCCTGCATAACCGCATTATCCCTGACCACCGGGGAATGCCAACGACGATAGCTTCCCCCGCTTGGGCCCTAATTCTCCCGGGTTTCATCCCGTAGCTGTGTCAGTTTTAAAAGGGCCCTCATGGCCTCTATGGCCGTACCTTCGTCGGGAATTCTTTGGTTAGCAGTCTTTTTATTTCTTCCCAAGACAAGTGGGGTTGGTTCTCCAAGAGCCCCCTCACGAACTCAGACGCTTTTCCCTTTGTGGCATCGTATGCCAAATACAGGGTTTCTTGGTCCGAAAGCTCGTAGATGATTCGGCTCTTCTCAAGGATTGCCAGCCAGTTTTTAAACTCCTTCCCGCTGCCATCAAATACTGGGACCCTCGGTCCACCTAACAGCTTCCTTAAATTCACTGACAACCCCCGCCCTACTTCCTCTTCACCCCCCCACTGCTCTATCCGAATCATAGTCTGACATGTCTACAGAGAAAGACAGTCTATGCAGCAACAATCGAGGTTGGGAAATAAAATAAGGTGTCCTACCTTACAGACGATTCTGTTCTTTCTTCCTTTGGTCCCGGGTCGTTCTGAGCTCTGCTTGAACTTTCAGCAACGGCGGTCGATCGTGGTCTTCTCAGGGTTGAAATCCCTCGGTCACGGCACCACATGTGACGTGGTTGTCTCAGGGTTGATCCGTTGGTCACGGCACCACATGTGACGGTTACACACCTGGCCCAGGGTCGAATCCTTTGGTTACGGCGCCAACGGTGACGTCGCTCCTCCTGGTCGCTCCTCCTGGGTCCAAGCGTGCCGCTCCAACCCCTTGGTTGGATGATCACCAGCCTCGCCTTTCCCAACTCGCTTCCAATACCTGGTTACTGAAGCAACTGTACTGATCTCCGGTCTGTCTACCCACGCTGTGTTTAGATCTTAGACAGACGGGACCAGCAGGGATTGGGGCCGATACAAGTTGAGTCCGACGGGGTGGCAAAACACAAGTAAAAAAAAAAAAAAAACTCACGAGACAAAAAAATTACTGATAAAAAGGGTGACAACCTTTTTATATCTAATGTCCGTTACATAAAGAAAAATTGTTCTTATTTCCCGACCCGCTCTGTGGACTATGGCACCAAGCTTCTATCACACAACCTAAAGATTTCGAATTGCCTACTCTTTAGAATTGTGTATGTCGGAGTGTGGTTTAGTTTCGACACTGGGGCTAATTTCTATCGATCATTCGCAGTTGATTCTTCTCTTCGACTTGAGTTGTATTTCTTCTTCTTCGTCGACTTAGATAGAACTTCTCTTGTCTTCGACTTGGGCTGGATCTTCTCTCTATGGCAACTCAGGTAATCTTCTTCTTTGTCCGTCTTGGGCTGGAAGTTCTCTTGTCTTCGACTTGGGTGGGGGCTGATTTCTTGTTTCGACTTGGGTGGAAGGATTTCGGCCTGCAACTCAGCCGCTTCTCTCTGTCGTCTTGAGGTGATCTCTTCTTGCTGCCGTCCGGGGCTGAAACTCATGTTTTCGACTTGGGCTGGAAGGATTTCTTTTCTGAGGATTCTTTTGCCCGCAAAGGGGCGAGTGAATCGGGCCTGATGCCCGCGTTCAGGCTCTTTCCCTGCCCGCGGTCCAGCTGCAACTCTGCCAAAACTCTCAACTCAACTGATTTCTGTCGACTGGGGTCCTGCTTTTATTGACGCCGCAACAAACTGGGGTGGGTCTGTTGGCGTCAGGGTTTTTCGATAATTCCAATAGTCGCATTAATTCTGTTTCCCCATTATCGCTATTGTTTTCACCCCTACTTCCTCACAGTGCCTTTGGTGGGGAGGTACACCCATCTCTCCCGGTTTCTCGTATGTCAGGTGACCGTTTTTTGACCAATGGTTCCTGATCGGGCATTCTTCCTCTTCTTTCTGCGCATATCACGTGACTGCTTTCGGCCAATGAGATTGTGGTTGGGCGCCTCCCATCTCAAATCGGGCGTGGCTTACATCGTTCTTGTTTTAAAAAACAAAATCTAATTTTGCCTTTTTTGCACGTACGAAAAATGACAATCTTGGCTTTTTTCTCACCTGGGCTCGGTCAAAACAGCCTGCCGCTAATTAGATGTGACTTCAGGAAAGAATATTGGCGCCATCTGTGAACTGAGACAATCATTTTTTCACCTCTTGTTTTTGTCAGACCCGACAGTCAGAAAATCTTAATTATCTACATTGAAAATGTCCCCACTTTATTATCGTGGGTTTCCAATTCTTAATAGGTCAGAATCTGTATATTGTTCCACCGGTCACTCCCCTCAACCCAAAAGACACTTTTCTCTGATTAACAAAATTTCGTTTCTATTGTTCAAAAAAAAAAAAAAATTTCCCTTTCTCCAATTTGACAATGAGTCCTTCCATGCAAAAAGGAGGCTAGGTGCTTTGACCTATATTCTTATCAATCGCCAATACACTGTCATCAAGCCTGGTTCTTTTCTCCCTTTAAATGATTTTTCATTTCAAATAACAATTTCTATTGTCTTTAAAAAATTCGGCCAACACGCAGGCCAAGATATCTTTCTGACACCTATCTTGCTTATGACCGGGTCATGCATCATCCATCTCTCTTTCCTTTTTTTTTCCTTTCTTCCTCTTTTTTCTTTTCCCCTTCCTTCTTCTTTCCTTAGGATCGTCTAAGTACAACTTTAGTGAATTATTTTCAACTCAATTATTTTCCGTTTTAAAAAATCAACAACCTGTTTAATAAACCGAGTAAAAAAAAAATTAAATCATATTTCTATGAATATTTCTAATAATGCAAGGTGCCACAAACTAATCTACCACTATTTTTCATTTGTGATACAGTGCATAGTCCTGCTGGAAGTAACCACCAGAAGATGGGTGTACCATAGTTGCCAATTGAGGCATGTAGTCAGTCACACCAACTAAGTATGCTATGACATTTAAACAATCTTTTATTGGTACAAATACTCCCAATGTATACCAAGAAAATGTTCCCTATACCATTATACCACCAACAACAACAACTTGATACAAGGCAGGATAGATCCATACTTTCATATTGTTTATGCCAAATTCTAGTTTTTATTGATTCCAATGTATGCCATGAAAATATAAAGAAAAGCACCTTTGGGATGATTTTTTTTTATTTATTTTTAGTACTGCTTAGTTGTGACTTACCATTTCTACTGAATCCAAGTACACACTGCCCAGCCCAGGGATTGAACTCACAATCACGATGTCACCAAATTCATTGAGGTACTAAATAATTCTGAGATTTCTTTGTTTTTCCATAAAATTATTTCTCTTAACACTGGAATCTTTGAGTCTCATGATGAGGTTTTATACTTGAAGAATCTTCCTGTTAATTGCCTCTATACTGGGCCAGGCAGTGTGTAGTTGGACTCAGTTGAAATGAATGAGTAATAACTGAGCAAAACTAAAAATAAGAACTAGATGAGATATCAGGGATTCAGTCTTGAATTCCCTGCAGGTTACCCAGATTGATATATTCCTGTAGAAGGCAAGAGTACACAAGGAATGAAACATTGTGATAATGACAACAATGATAAGGACAATAGACCAAATGTAAGTAATATAAATAATGATAACATCTCATCCCAGAAATTCAGACAGAAATTACCAGTTCTTATGTTGAGCTCTTATATTTTAATAATTTTATCGTTAATTATTCCTATCCTGAGCCTGGCAGTGTGTAGTTCGACTAAGTTGAAATGAAGGAGTAATAACTGAGCTGTACTAAATATAAGAACAAGTCAAGATATCCCTTGACATGGGGAGTGGAGTGACAACAGTCTACCCGCGTAGATTAATTAAAGGATTCAGTTTAGAATTCCCTGTAGGTTACCCAGATTGATATACATCTGAGGAAATTGCCATTTCTCTTGTTGCACTCTTATATTTGAAGAATCTTACCGTAAATTATTTCTATTCTTAATATCTTTGTGGGTTTGAATGTGTCGGGTGATCAAATAATAGTGTTTATATATTAGTCTTACAAAATTAGGTTTTACTACAAAGGATATAAAAATTAATGTAAGATAAATTTATTTAAATATTATTTATCAGAAATGTAATGAGTGCAGCAAAATGAGAAAGCAAATTTTCAGTTTGACATTTAAAGAAGTCTCCTTTTGCAAAAAAAATGTTTCATTTAAAAATAGAAGATCTAGTTCCAGGGTTAATTTTTTGTCTTGAGGATATTTTAAAAAAAAAAAGTAAAAAAAAAATAAAAAACAGAGGTGGAGGGACAATATAATTCTAGATTCACCAACTGATGATTGACAGATAGTAAACCCAATAGTGAAAATCATAATAAATGGCAGGAATTACATTGTTTAAAATCTGTTTCAGGGCTAAAATATTTAATGTATGTAGGCAAGCAATGTAAAGATGAATGCCATCTAGATATTTTGTATTTATAAAATTTGCAAATGATCAGAAATGAAAAGATAACAAAACAAAATTAAATTTTTTTTTTTTTTTTAATGCAAATTAGTCATCATTATGACCTCAGAACCTCAAATTTGGCCAACATATAAGAAACATGCAGTTGACATAAAATATAATAAAAAAAAAAAAATCAAGCAAATGATGTAAATCGCAGATATTTCCATGATGCAATTTATATTACAGTCTTACTAAAACATTAAGTTTTTGGAAACAAATTGTTTTTAATCAGAAAAGATATGAAGACAAATGTAATTTAAATATTATTTATCAGAAATGTAATCACCTTCATTTTCTATGACTGATTCCCAAATTTTCAGTTCCACATTTAAAGACATCTCTCCATTAAAAAAAGAAGTTTGAAAGACTGTTTTGAACTTCTTTGTTTCTGTAATTGTTAAATCTGGTGAGTTTGGATGATGTGGAAGAACTTACTATCCTAATGATCTTTTTTAGTTTTTTTTCTTGGGTTTGTTTTGAAAATAACACCATTTTTATACCAAAGCAGGAATTTTAACAACCTTTTTTTATTTACTTAAGTTGGTGACAATAAAAGTCTATAATGATGGTCCTTCCATGTTCCAGTAGCTTTTAATTGACAATAACTTCATTTCCTATTCCACCAGAAACAAAGTAAGGATTCCTGTTGAGTGAATCCAGATTTTGATGTTGACACTGGTTTCTCATTTTCTGATAACCACTATCTTTTTTGTTTTCTCTTGACATGCAAAACCCATTTTTCATCACTTGTAATAATGTAATTTCAAAATTGAAAAATTGGCATTTTGTATTAAAAGACTGCTTTACAATGATGTAATGTTGTGTTTAGTTCACAAGTGAAAGCTTGTGAGGAATGCAAATTTCTACTTTGCAAGTTTTTCCCAATTTACTTGGGTTGTTCATAGACGGCTGCATATGATACAAAAGATTTTGTCAGATTTCTGGTGTTTTTATTAGGATCTAATTCAGTAGTTTCTTTCAAAAGTTCTACTTTTAGAGTGGGTGATCTTCAAGAATGACACTTGTAGGATAGGTCACAATCATAGCTACCAGCTTTGAGCCATACCAGCATCTGTATTCACTGTTGAAATATTTATGGATGCCTTTGTAGAATTATTACCCTTTTTGGAATTCCTTGCAATAAGCAAAGATGAATGTTACTTTAAAAATATTGTATGATAGGGTTAATCTCTTAAACGTTCTATAAGCAAGATATTCTTTATAAAAGATGTTAAACTAATTCTAGACACATTTTTCTAACCTTTGTTTTACATTGATTGATTGACTTTTAATTCACAACAGTGAAATATGTAAATACTATTTTAATATCTTAATGCACACACACTTATATATATATATATATATATATATATATACACACACATGATATAAATAAATACCTTTCAGAGATTCAAAAGGCATTTTATAGTTAATCTTTTTTGGCATATTCCATTTGACAAGTTGAAAGGTTGTTTTTTTTATTTGTAGATGACAAATTTTTGGTAATTCAGTCTTTCTTTCAAATTAAAAAAAGAAAGTTATCTTGAAGGCCAGACTTTACATCTTCTTGAATTCATTATATTCTTTTGAATTTATCAACAAAACAAAATCTTGAAAGTAAAATGACCTTCAGACTATATGAAAAACACTTTCTCATTTAAATTTTAATAAAGAAAAAATAAAAAATATAAATTAATGATATTAAAAAAATAATTTTTCAGTGAATATATGATCTTTTAACAGATTATGATCTTTTAAACATAGATGATCTGTTAACATAAAATGTTTTATTTTAATGTCATATGATGAGTTTTTAACTTTTTTAATGACACTAAAAAGTTATTTTGGAGTTTTTCAATATCAATAAAATATTCTCTCTGACAAGATGATTTTTTTTTTTTTTGATAATTTTCCCTGACTTTTTTTTATTTGAAAAATTATAAATTTATAATAGCAGCAGCAGAAGATTTATTGTAATAAGTTATTCCATCCCTACTTTACTGATGGGATAATGATTGATAAACATTAAAATTAAACAAACAAACTGATTAATTTTATATAAACAAGTGGATTCTACAATTTTATATTATTTTATATTCACTGATTAAAGGTATAAACTCATCTTCTATTTGATTTCATTGTCTTTCATGAATAAAAATTTGTCAATCACAACAACTTGACATTGATAGTCTGTCATGTTTCAAATGTTGCAAGATCATTTAGTGCTTATTGTGTAATTACTATAACATTGTCCTCATCTTTGTCAGGGCTATTTATGACATATGCGTTTTTCTTGCAATAACCTAGATACTTCTTGAGCTGAACCCATTTTCAAACATTGGAACAAATATCAGAATTGTTTGACTGAAGTTCTTCTTGCCATGTTTTGAAGATGTTTTCTTTAGTAATCTTCTTCATATATTTATTTTATACTGGGTATTGAAGATTTAAAGCATTCCATTTGTTTTATTGAATTTCCTTTGTTTCTTTTATTTGCAGGCCTGAGGAAGAACATCTATGGTAATTTGATTCTTCATTTTCTTTTCATGAAGAAATCAATGTTATTTCATTTAATGGTAGAATTTCCCTGTTTTTTGAAATTCTTTGCTATTCTTATAAAACAAGAAAAAATATACAACATTGTAAAATAAAAGCTTCAATAATTATTGGATAAACATTTTGGAAAATATCAGGATAAAGAAAAGCTTCAAAAATTATATTAACTTGTATCAATCCTTCTCAATTATTCTTCTTTAGTGCATTTTGAAATAAATTCTTACTAATAAATTTTATCATTAGACACTTATACATCTTTATATTATCTAAATCATAACCCAATTTTTATCACATTTTGGAAAATATTTTTCTTTGACCATTTACTTTTTTTTTAACTTCAAACACACAGGGACACCAATATTCCACTACTATCTTCAAGTATTATGCACCAGACTGAAATAAAAATGCCCACCTGAATTTATATGCACAGAAGACAAAGATACAGTGGAAAACAAACAGTACAGAACTAAATGTACAATAACTTACCCTTCCAGAATCTATTTAAAAAAAATTCTGATAATGGTTAAATAAAAGGAAAATGTTAAATTTATAAATGTTTTCTCTTTGTTCCTTATTCTGTCACATTTTGTTTTATATATTTTCTTTTCATTTATCAAAAAAAATTTATTGTTATTCTGAGTGATTGTGAATTGGAGTCAAGTCATGAGATGGCTGAATGGTAATGTGACACAGGATCTATTTGTGAATGAAAAACAGAAAAAAACTTGGGGAAAGATAAGTGAGTGGCCTTTGATATATTGAGAACAATATGCAGACCCAACCAACTCTACACATCCTCTATGTTGCTTCCCTTGCTCACAAAGAGACTATCATCTCACATCCTCTATATCAGCAATACAATAATATTACATTAACAATTCTGGGCCACAAATTTTCTGAATGCCACATGTTTGCTTTTCTTCACCGACATAGCATGTAGATTGTGTTGGGTGTTACTATAAAGATTTTCAGTTCACTGAGGTTTATAAATCCAATAAAAACAGGGTGGAATCTAAAGATATATATATTTTATGGATATCCTCATGGTAGACAATGCAGCATAGCCCACAGTTGATTTAAGTTTTTAGTCAAAATCTTCAACTCAAGGGGGCATACATGTGTAACAACCTCAAATACAATTAA